AGCCAACATCCCATTTCAATGGCAGGTTCAGTCCCTGCTGCTCAGCTTCCAACCTGGCTCCCTGCTACTGGGCCCAAGGAAGATGGCCCAAGCGCTTGGGGGCCTGCCACCCAAGTGGGAGACTCGGCTAAACCGGCAGAGTCCAGACCTCTGCCTGCATCTGTCACTGCTGCCACCGGAGCAGTGAACCAGCAGGTGGAAGACTGCTCAGCCCTCTCTCTCCCCATATGTGTCACTCAGCTCTGCAAATAAATACAGATGAGTAAATAAAGGTAAGAAAGTCTCAGAGGAAGAGTTAACTCACCAGCTAGAACGACCATGAACGGAGAAGTTCAGCGCAAACAGTGGAGCTTAGTGCTCAAAGGACAAAGTTCCACACGGCATTTTCCATGAAAAATCATAACATAAAAGTCATCTATATTCATCAGCAATGCACAATTAGAACTTTAAATGAAAAAAATCACATAATAGGGCCCGGCGCGGTGGCGCAAGTGGTTAAAGGTCCTCGCCTTGCACGCCCGGGATCCCATATGAGCGCCAGTTCTAATCCCGGCAGCCCCGCTTCCCTTCCAGCTCCCTGCCTGTGGCCTGGAAAAGCAGTCGAGGACGGCCCAAAGCCTTAGGACCCTGCACCCGCGTGGGAGACCCGGAAGAGGCTCCTGGCTTCGGATCGGCATAGTATCGGCCCGTTGCGCTCACTTGGGGAGTGAATCATCGGACGGAAGATCTTCCTCTCTGTCTCTCCTCTCTGTATATCCGCCTTTCCAATAAAAAATAATAAAAATAAATCTTTAAAAAAAATCACATAATAAAAACGCATACAAGATGGTGGGACATCTCATGGCCACAGGGAGCAAATGAAATCATGATCAAGCTTGTGTGGATACAATCCTGAGGCCTCTCCAAGCTCAGCAGAACAGAAACCTAATACAAGCATTTAAACACAAAGATCAAAACCTCCTAAATGCAGATGACAAATCCATACAGGACAGAATCAATTTAGACCTCTTGCTTTTTTTCAACAAGAGAACCAATAGAATTGACATGCTGGTAACTTCCTGTACTGAAAACCTTCTTCCTTGTGCTTGTTTTTTCAGGAATAATCAGCTTTTTTTTCTCATTTTGCAAATAAGAGGATCGCAGAGGAGCTAAGATCGACTTCCTAGGTTTGATGTCTGTGCCAGGTGCCGTGTGCAGGTTGGCATGACACCGCACCTCCTTAGGAAGTGAGCGACTGTGCCAGCTGCTGGGGGTGCGGATACAGGAGGCTTTCAGCTGGGCCACCAGCCCTCTTCCCAACTGCCTCTCGGACTGGTGTAGTCTACCCAAGGCTGTGTCCCGTTGGGGTGGTCTGCTCGCAGCGGCTGCCTGACCTGGCCTTCTGGAAGCCTGGCCCCCCTTGCACTCGCCACGGTCAATTCTCCAGGGACATCCCTGAGACGGCATCGCGGCTCAGCTTCTCCGCTTGCCCATCTTGCTCCCCTCTGCTGTTTTCATAGGAGCTGGTCCCAGTAAATGCATAGTTGGAAAATGTCACTCCCTGCCTGGGCATCCAACCTCCACTAGATCCTCTGGAAGGAGGAACTTGAATGTGTGGCAAGCAGTTGGCCCGGGAGCCACATAGGGTCCACGGGCCTGAAACCCACCGAGCAACTAACAAGCAAGGGAAGCCGTGCCATCTCACTCAGAGAACAAAGCGGTTGCCTTTGGAAGACCCGGTGGGGGACCTGCCTGGAATTCGGGTGGGGTTTCAGGAGGCCACAGGAGGCAGGGTGGCAGCTGCTGGGCCCACGGTTCAACCTAATCCCCCCTGAGCTGTCCTGTCCCTGGTACCATGATCGCACCATGTTAATTAAATCATTCTCATTAATTCAGCCTGAGTGTAAATTAGGAAGGAATGAAGATAAATGAGGTTGGAAGGCAGCTAATACATTTAACCCCATGCTGCTTATTTTGCAGCCCAACAAAATAACATTGTTCCGAGAGATAACAAGGCCAAAGCCTTGGGCACAGCTTCTTAATAACAATAAAAAAAATGAGACCTTGGTTTGGTGTCCCAAGGCAAAGACAGGTTCCCGGGGGGGGGCCTCTGGGACTGCCCTCATATCTTGCTGAAGTGTCGGCTAACGTACAGCGGGGAGCGGGCAGTGTCTGCCCGTTGTTTCTGACTCAGATATCGGCTGTCTGTTGTCATCCAGTTCGATCGCAGCCTTACTAAGTAAGAGCTCTCCTCCTGTAATGCGACAAGACTTGCTCATCTCTTCTCTGGTGGAGAGAGGCTGCGGGAATTACACAGCGAGACTTGCCATCATCCTACATAGGCTAACTGGCCAGTCACTTGCAGCGAAGGAAACCAGCTGCCCCAACAGCCTGAAAACTTTTCAGTTTTTTTTTTTTTTGCTAACTTGCATAAACTCATTTGTTGATGCATAAGCATGAATCAAGCATCAATGCAAGCGAATGTGTTTCAAGATTTTCCCGACTAGACCCCCTTTTTCTTTTCTTGCAGCGTAGGGAGTAGGCAAGGAACAGAAAAGCCACATTAAAATGGCATCACTAGAGGCTGATGTAGCAGAGGAGGTTGGTCTTCTCGCAGCCATGCCTGCTTAGGAGAAGGAAATTGTGCTGACCCCTTGCTCCAGGACCTTCTCTGCAGATCCCGGTGAAAAAGACACAGCAGAGACGGGGGCCCTGTTCCCCAGCCTGATGGCTGCTTTGTGGCAAAACTCCCCGCCCCCCCCCCGAGGGACCCCTGTACCCCTTCCATTTCCGTGTTGTCTAGAAACGATTCAAGACACATCAGGCAAGTGAGGCATGCCCCTGCCGAGCTGCAAACTCTATCCCCCCAAGTGGAAGACACTAAGAGTCGTTCTTCAAAACCACATGCTTGCTTTTGACCCACAGCCCAGCCAGACAAAGCAAGTCTAGGGGTACTGTGGAGTCGCTCTTCATCAGATTCTTCGACACCTTGCCACAGGCTCCAGAAACGTGTCTGAAGGTTAGACGCATGTGCGTCCCCAGCCATCTTTTCGCCCCCTAACTCGCGTCCTCAGCATCTCCGTGAGCCTCCCCTTAGGCGCCAGCTCCTGCCTGCCTGGCTGCTCTCCGCACCTCTGCACCGCGGCTGCTCCCCAACTCCCTGCACGTGGTTCTGCAGGTGACCCATCCGGCCAGCTCCGGCTTTGCGCAGCCCTCTCTCAGAGGCTCTGCTTAACAAGGCTTGCCGTGAGCTTGACTAGTTAATGCTAACAAAGGACTTCAGAGGGCACTGTCTTTCTTTGCAAGGGGCCAGAACGCTACTGAAGGCAAGCGGGATTGTTCTAAAACACGCAGCCTTGATTTTCAGAGGCGTCGGGATGCTTGGGAGCGCCAGGTGGCCCCCTCCTTGGCCATCCGAGGACATTTTTTGCAACTGGTATTTTACGGAAGGCCGGAACGGAGGAAGCAAAGGGGGGGCCGGGGGCGACCCGATCATGGAGCGCTTCACCCTGGAGCTGGGACCAAGCCATTCACATCTTCCTTCCCGGGCCTGTTTTCTAACCTGTGAAACAAGGGGTTTGGCGCAGTCCCTTCACAAACCTTATTCCAATACCTTATTCCCCAGTGGCAAGACACGAGCTAGGCGCCAAGAGAAAAGCCAGGATTCAACAGTGGTCGCCGGCGGATGTTACTTTCCGACCACCTTCCAGTCTTCTGGCAGGAGGGGCATTAGATGTGTGTGTGTGTGTGTGTGTGTGTGTGTGTGTGTGTCCCAAGCCACTTTACTGAACTCCATCCAAACACCAGTAACCCACCCACCCACACACCCACACACACACACAAAAGAGCGGCAGTGTCGGAGACGGTCCCGCGGCGCAGAAGAGCCGGCGTGGTGGCTCCTTTGAGAACCTGGCTTTGAATGAAGCGACCGCGGCTATTGGCTGTGGTGCGCGCCCCGCGGGACGCGGCCGGGACTGCCCAGGCTCCTGCCGGACCCGGCGCAGCATCCCGGGGCGAGGAAGGGAGGAAAGGGGAAACGCCAGGGGGGCTCCAGGCTGTTTGGCCGCGTGCCCGCGTCCCTGCCTGCCCGAGCCTCCATGTGCCCAGGGTGTGCAGACTGAGTCCCCTGCCAAAGTGTCCTCCCCAGCGTGCTGGCCGGGCTTGCCCGGGGGCGCGTGTCGCGGACACCCACCACTCGCCCCTGGCCCGCCTCGGCTGAGCATCCCGCCCGACTCTGGACAAGCCCGGGACGCGCCCCTCCTGCCGAGGGGTCGCTCAGTTCCCGGGCGATCCGTTCAAGCAGGCTGATCCAAAGAGACACAGACACTGCGACCCCGAAAAATTTGTTTCACTCGCCATATCTCTGAGGGTTGCAGCTGCCAGTGGCGGAGAGCGCGTCCGCTTTGTCTCCATGCACCGCCCGCAGCCCCCTCCCTCGCTTCCTCTCCGGGTTAACTCCCCCGCCAGGCTCTTCCCCAACGCTTCTCCTCCTCCTCTCCTCTCCTCCTCCTCCTCCTCCTCCCCTCCTCCCCTCCTCCCCTCCTCCCCTTCTCCTCCTCCTCCGCGCGCCACGCTAAGGCGCTTCCTCCCTCCCCGGTGTCAGTCTCGGCGCTCGCACTCCGTCTTCCTCCTCCCCACCCCTCCCCGCCGGCCGTTTATAGCCCGGCGCGCGGTGGCCGAGTGCAGACTCTCGGCCTGTGTGTGTGAGAGAGAGAAAGAGAGAAAGAGAGAGAGGAGGCGGCGCGGCGGTGGCGCTGTGGAGACCGAGTCTAGACGCCAGGCGGCCGCCGGCGCGCAAGGCGCTTGCCGACTCCCTCCCCCGGTGCCCAGCCCGCCTCCTTCGCAGGCTCGCTCTGCCCTCCCGGGACTCGTCCGGGAGACTGCCCGCGGGCCCCCCGGGCACAGGGTCCGTGGCGTGAGACCCCGAGGCCGAGGCGGAAGCGCCAGCGATCGCCGGCCCCCCAAGCGCGGTCGCCTCCCCGCTGGGCGCCCCATGCGCGCTCCCTTCCCCCGGGCAGTCGCCGCCGCTGCTTCCCGAGCTTGAGACACCCGCTTCGTCGGCTCCACGCCCGTGACCGAGGCCAGCACTCAGCCGATCGTGCTCCAGGCCAGTCGCCACTACTGTGAGTTTCCTCCACTGCTTGGGGACCTGTTGCCCGCGCCGCCGGCTGCACGGGCTGCCCGGCCTGCTGGGGGGTGTGTTCGAGAGGGGTGAACGCGCGCAGGGCCGGCGGGAGCCCCGACTCCTCTGGCTGCTTGGCTGCCCGGCTGGCTGGCAGGGCGGGAGGCGGAAGCTCTTTCCCTCCCCGGGGCCGAGACCTCTGCGCACGCCGCAGCTTTCCGCATTGCAAGCGGGAGGAGAGGATCCGTGGAGGGGCTGGCCGGCTTCCTCTCCGAGGCAAGGGAAGCGAGGAGCCCGGCCAGGGATCCCATCAGCCTCACTGCCTACAGCCTCCAGGGCTCAGTTTGCCCACGTTGCGCCCGCCTCGGCGTGGAGGGGAGAGCTGGAGCCGCATGCAGACTCGGTGGTTGCGGGCGCATTCGCTGGGGAGAGGTGTCTGGGAATGAATGAACACGGACTGGTTTCTGCAAAACTGGTTTTCCTCCCCTGCAAGCATTCGCTGTCTAGCGTACCATTATTAGGTTCAAAGGGTAGGAATCGGTGGACAAGGTGCAGAAGAAACATTGAACTTGTTCGACTGATCATGGAGGATTACATGGCGAAAAGTGTGTGTGTGTGTGTGAGCAAGGTTTTTGGAATGTTGGCCCATTGTTAGCGATAGCGTAGCTCTCTGAGGAGACCTGCTGGGGTTCTCCTGTGCCTGGAGTCAGATCAGGTGGAGACCCGGAGGACCTGTGGACCGGGAATCGCAGAGTCTGAGGAAGGAGTGTTAGAACTGAAGCTGCTGTGGCTAGAGCCCTTCTGATGTTCACGGTCATAGCAACCCGTGTTCTTTGTAGATGCAGGTTAAGTATATGTGTGTCCTTCGCGGCCCCTTGGCATGCAAATGGTATGTCTCTGAGGGGTTGCTTCCTTTTATGACCAAGGCACATTTCGTGACTTCATGGGCTTCTGATATTTTGATGTCTGCACAGTTCTGAGGCAGAAACCAAGTCACCTGCCCTGAGCCTTGCTGGTTACATTTTTAGTCACACCTTCCTGCCAGAAGGTTAGGTGGCAGGTGTAGCTTCTCCAGCCGGATAGTATCCAGGATGACAGGCAGTGTCTTACCTCTGGCTCTCAAAGCCAACCTGGAAAAGACGGGCGCATGCCCAGACATGCAGGTGCCGTACCCAAGGCCTTCCCAACGTAGAGCTGTGGATGTTGTTGTACACCACCAGGAGTCTGATATTCAGGAAAACCTGCTGTGTCCCGGTGTGCAAGCACGAGGCAGTGTGCGCCCCTCCATCCCGGGAACGTCATTCTCCAGCTAGCTTCCCTGGAGGCTCCTGACCATCTTTTGAAGTTGAAGCTCCCGGTGTTGCTCACAATACTTGAAATGGAAAGCAGTGATTCAAGTGACAGCCACAGGAGGGATGGGTCAGCAGGGATGCTTTATTGCTTTGGGTATTTTCTGTGTTCACAGAGGTTCCCGAGGGCACGGCTCCCACGTGGACTCACATGGGGAAGGCAGTAGGGCTTAGTGCAAAGTAGGAGAGATGCTGGGTTTCCTAAGCGGGAGGCTTTGGGGTGCCTTGTAAGGTCTTCCCACTCCTGCAGCCATAAGACTTGGTTACATACTTTCTTCCACTAGGCTGTGTTTATTCACCATGAGGTTGCATGCCACGCTCAGAATGAAGCAAAGCAAGTTGCATCATCTAATGGTATGTGGCCTGTCTGTCAAAGGCACTGGCAGGCACCTACCTTTATTGGGTTCTGGGCTGTTCCATGCGGTATCACAGCTGGCCAGGGAAGTACAGTTTATTATTCTAGTCTCTGACTGAATGGTAAACCATTCCTTTTGCGTTTATTACTAATTCCGGAGATGTACATTTAAAAAGACCGAGTGACTGTGTTGGCACAGGTACTGGAACCAGGCACCCAGTCTAGCCTCAGGATAAACGGCTTCCTCAGGACTCCTTTGACAGGCAGGTTCTTGAAGCCTTGATTCCTTTGAAGTAACAGAGGAAGTGTTAAAAAGGCAGTGGGGCTGCCATGCGGTTTGGGAAGATGACTGATAGGCACTTCCTGCAGCATTTTACATTTTCTGTGCTGGAGAAAGCAGAGGAGAGCTTTGGGCTCTGGTGTGATTTCAATTTACTTCAGTCAGCTAATAAATTATAGGGTGGTCCTAAATTAACAGTGGCTCTTAGTGCACACCGTGTGTGTGTGTGTGTGTGTGTGTGTGTGTTGACTTAAATAAAGCAGTGTTTGCGTTTTGAACTGCCTGTGTGCAGGTACGCGGGAGCAGTCCTGTTCACGTACTCTTTCATCAGAAGAGAAGGGTGGGGAAATCTTTTGTTCTTGCAACTGGTTTTCCAAGAACTGGAATAAGGGAAAAAGAACAGAAAAAAAAAAAAAAAGATGCAGGAGCATGCTACTCAAAATATTCTTCCTTTTGTGGGTCACATCCTCACCTTGGAAGCTGTCCAGACGAAGTGAGGTGGGTGCTTACTAGGGCCAGAGCCCATTGTGTGCAGTCCGCTAAAGCTTACTGACCAACATAGGGTAATGTTTTTCTGGAGATGCTTTTTATCCTATAGCAGTATAGCTGTCTGATTCGAAATGATCTGGAGCACTTAAGTCTTGACTGTTGAAGAAGTTGGCCTTCTTCCTGGACATGCAGGCAGATTGGATGTGACCAAAGGAATTCTTCATGGAATTTAATTGGCGGGTGTTTGTTCTACCCATGGCTTTATGTTGCATAGGACATGAAAGCCGGTGCCCAGGCCGGCGTTATGAGAGCAGCAGTCGGACGAAGACAGGGAGTGGTGAGGAGGCCTTATTCCTTTGGCTTTTTCTGACTGACTGTGTCAAGGACTTTAATATCCATCAAGTTGGCAATCAGGTTTTCCAAGATGAACCTGCTCTTATGCGGGGATTTTTTTTTTTTTTGCCAGCGTGTGATTTATGGACCAGCCCTGCTTCCGTGGAAGTCTTCCCTTCCAGTCGTTGCCTGAACGGCCAGCAGCAAGTTGTTTTTTTTTGTTGTTGTTGGAAATGATTGTTGTCTTTGTTCTGCTATTGGGAGCCTCACTTTCAAAGATTTGGCTTTGCGCTTATTTTTTGCAGGAGTCGGAACAAAATGTCCGTCAGCGTGCACGAGAACCGCAAGTCGAGGGCCAGCAGCGGCTCCATCAACATCTACCTGTTTCACAAGTCCTCCTACGCCGACAGCGTGCTCACCCACCTGAACCTTCTACGCCAGCAGCGGCTCTTCACCGACGTGCTTCTCCATGCCGGGAATCGAACCTTCCCCTGCCACCGGGCGGTGCTGGCCGCGTGCAGCCGCTACTTCGAGGCCATGTTCAGTGGCGGCCTGAAAGAGAGCCAGGACAGCGAGGTCAACTTCGACAATTCCATCCACCCCGAAGTCCTGGAGCTGCTGCTCGACTATGCCTACTCCTCGCGGGTCATCATCAACGAGGAGAACGCTGAGTCGCTGCTGGAGGCGGGGGACATGCTGGAGTTTCAAGACATCCGGGATGCCTGTGCCGAGTTCCTGGAGAAAAACCTGCACCCCACCAACTGCCTGGGCATGCTGCTGCTCTCTGATGCACACCAATGCACCAAACTCTACGAGCTCTCCTGGAGGATGTGTCTCAGCAACTTCCAGACCATCCGCAAGAATGAAGATTTCCTGCAGCTGCCCCAGGACATGGTCGTGCAGCTCTTGTCCAGCGAAGAGCTGGAGACGGAAGATGAGAGGCTGGTGTATGAGTCCGCCATCAACTGGATCAGCTACGACCTGAAGAAGCGTTACTGCTACCTCCCCGAGCTTCTGCAGACAGTGAGGCTGGCGCTGCTGCCGGCCATCTATCTCATGGAGAACGTGGCCATGGAGGAGCTCATCACCAAGCAGAGGAAAAGCAAGGAGATTGTCGAAGAGGCCATCCGTTGCAAACTGAAAATCCTGCAGAATGATGGCGTGGTCACCAGCCTCTGTGCCCGGCCTCGGAAAACCGGCCATGCGCTCTTCCTCCTGGGGGGGCAGACTTTCATGTGTGACAAGCTGTACCTGGTCGACCAGAAGGCCAAAGAAATTATTCCCAAGGCTGACATTCCCAGCCCGAGGAAAGAGTTCAGCGCGTGTGCGATCGGCTGCAAAGTGTACATTACTGGGGGGCGGGGTTCCGAAAACGGGGTCTCAAAAGATGTGTGGGTTTATGACACCCTCCACGAGGAGTGGTCCAAGGCTGCACCCATGCTCGTGGCTAGGTTTGGCCATGGCTCCGCTGAACTGAAACACCGCCTCTATGTAGTCGGGGGGCACACGGCTGCCACGGGCTGTCTCCCAGCTTCCCCTTCAGTGTCCCTAAAGCAAGTAGAACACTATGACCCCACCACCAACAAATGGACCATGGTAGCTCCGCTCCGAGAGGGTGTTAGCAACGCCGCAGTTGTGAGCGCCAAACTCAAGCTGTTTGCTTTCGGGGGTACCAGTGTCAGTCACGACAAGCTGCCCAAGGTTCAGTGTTACGATCAGTGTGAAAACAGGTGGACGGTGCCAGCCACCTGCCCGCAGCCCTGGCGTTACACAGCTGCAGCCGTGCTGGGGAACCAGATTTTCATCATGGGAGGAGACACAGAATTCTCTGCCTGCTCTGCTTACAAATTCAACAGTGAGACTTACCAGTGGACAAAGGTAGGCGATGTGACAGCCAAGCGCATGAGCTGCCACGCCGTGGCCTCTGGAAACAAACTCTATGTGGTCGGAGGATACTTTGGCATTCAGCGATGCAAGACTTTGGACTGCTACGATCCGACTTTAGACGTGTGGAACAGCATCACCACGGTGCCGTACTCGCTGATTCCGACGGCGTTTGTCAGCACTTGGAAGCATCTGCCTTCTTAAGGGAGCTGCGTCCTGAAGGAAGTGAGCTTGAGGTAAGAAGCAGAGTAGCTGCAGACACAAGGGTGCAGGGAGCCCTGATCCACAGCTGGTTCTGCACAAGTCCCACAACAGCTGTACAAAGAAAGAACTTGTATCCTCAGGATAGACAGATCCTTGTATTGACCATGCAAGGGTTCTCCGTCCTCCCGGAGGCTCGGAGTCTTCCCAAGAGGTTTGTAAAAACCACAGAGGCTTTTTCATTTGGTAGTTGAGGCCCCAGAACCAGCATTTTTAAGTTTTCCCCGAGAGTCTAGTATTTGATGCCAGCGAGTTTATGAAACCCACACTGTGCGCCAGAGCCATACTGTATGTTGCACCGGATCATCTCAGTTAAGGATGCTACTAGCTTCATGTTACAGATGAATACATGCATCTACATAAAGGCTAGGTAGTTGCCCAGGGGCACAGAGGTAAATAAATCAAGTGAGAGTCGGCTTTGGTCTAGAGCTGGAGACACTTGCTCCTGGCCTCTGGGCCGCTGCAGCCCTGTCCTTGCTTCAGCTGCTGCGGGAGACTGCACTGATGGATCGAGTCCACGGGCTGGGCTGCTGCCGCTGTGCGAGATGTGCGTTGGCTTCTCAGCTGCTTCTTCAGCCAGCGCCCGTCGTGGGTCGGGCTGGACCTAGCAGAAGGATGCTTTCTCTGTCTCTTTTTCATTTAAAATGAAAGAAATCAATCTGGGCGGTCTGTATCCAGAGCATAAGTGAATCACCCTGAAAGCCATTTGATAATAAACTTGAGGCACCTGATAAAAAAAAAAAATCCCGTTTAGGGCGTTTAGAAAGCAGTCTCTGTCCTCGCAAAAGAGTGCCCCCATGTCACAGGAACCTGTTGGATGTGCAGACACACTGAGCTGCCTCAACCACCCTAACATTGTTTCAGAGTTGACTGAGGCTGATGCCATTGTCAAATGTAACAGAAGTTGCATTCGGTGTCGCAGTACGCAGTGGCTGTCTTATAGATTTAAGAGTGTGGCCCTGTTTGCCTCCAATAACTTCTGAACACAGCTCCCTGTTCACAGAGCTCAAGGCCAGTTTGCTAGACTATAAACCTTAGGGTGGGTCCAGGAGCCCCTGGTGCGTGAGTGTAGCACACAACACATGGACCGGCTTGGTTTGTTGGGGTGATTCATGGGCTTATTACTTAGAAAGTAAGTGCTTTTTGGAGGAAGTGTAGTGAAAACTGCCCCATTGTTGGCACAGTTTCCAGTCATGTGTTTCACACCTTTAAAGGAGACATCAGAGGGGGGTAAACAGAAATCTTAGGAATAATTACAAGGTAAACAACGAGATTCCATCTCATTTGTTTCTTCTTTCTGTCTCCTACAGTTGTTTACAAACATCATTCAGCTTGGCTTCCCTTTCTCATCTCACTTATTTTTTCCATTTGTTTGCTCGCCTCCTCCAGCCTCTGACAGTTAGCAGCCCTTAGTAATGCAGTGTTGCTTCAGAACCACACGCCTTTAAAGGAGCTGGGACAGTCACACCTCTGGGCAACCGCTGGGCTTACAGCATCCCATGCCAAACTGGTTTTTGCAGCCTCGCTGGCATCTTCGTAATGCTAAATAAACAAATGCTCTGAAATGGGCTATTTTATTTGCGATACGAATGTGTGACTCCATGCTAAAGCAATTTCAAAGAGCCTCGTTGGTGAAAGCATCAGTTAATAGCTACAAAATTGGGTGTTCGTCCAGAACAGACTATATTTGCGCTGAAGAACTGTAACATCTCCAGTGGCAGCAGCAGTACGTCAGAAATGCTGATTGGTATAGACTGGTGTCATCGGAGCAAGGGAAAGAAGTTGAGACATAAAGAATAGAGTGGCCATATGAGTGCTCCGGTTCTAGACCCTTCTAGGCTCAAGATTTTTTCTGTCAAGTGAATGGTTTAAATTATACTTGCCCTAATGTCTGTCCCAGTTCAAACATGGGTGATGATGAACTGATGAGGAGGCAGGGAGGAGAAAGTTGAAATTGCCTTGCTCAGTGCTTGGCATGTATTGTGTTCAATATTCTTGGTTTTCCTTCCCACAATAAGCCGAGAGCATCCTCTGAGATGCAGCAGTGGAATTGGCTTTTCGAGTGGTGGGAGATTGTTCCTTTCACTTGTATCTACTCATCTTTTCCCTGTGTTTTTGGTTCCTCCTTTCTCACCCTGCAAAGAGCATATTTAGCAAACACTTGAGTCCACCCAAGCCTTGGGATCCCTGGGAACTAGAGCCATTAACATGTTGGGTCATCTGTGAAACAGTATCCTCTACGTCCCTGGCCCACCAGGCGCAGGCTTGCAGCTGCAGAAGGGCAGCCTGAGCCCTGATTAAAGCCACGCTTTCAGGTTCCCATAGAAAGAATGTCAGTTTAAATTTCTGAAATTTACTACACACGAGACAGTGTGCGAACCTCCAAGCTGGATGGGGGTGATTTAAAGAAGTTCTGGGTAGGTAGCAGCCCTGGCGTCACCAGACCCTTGCCCTGGCTCTCCAGATGGAGGTACTAATGAATGGAAGTCTATTTGCAGGAGCTACTCCAGCCACGGAGACTGTCCCTGGCCCCTGCTGCTCTGTCCCTGGGTGGGAGGGACAGAAAGGAAATGACTTTGATGACCTGTATTTTCTTGATACTGTGCGACCCCAACCTGGCAGCCCTTTAACCTCCATTCTTCCTTTCTTCTCTTTTAGATTTGTGTGTGCCATTTTTTCTTCTTGTTCAAATATGTAATGTCTTGAAATGTTTTATTACAAGATGCATTCTTTGGGCCTAAAGTTGATAGGTTACAGGGAGGTAGGCGAAGGGGATGACAATTGTCCAAGGAATGCCTTGAAGGCTTGAATCACTGTTAACTCCCCAGCCAAAGGAAACAGTGAATGAAATGAATCAGACTTCTGAACTCACAAAAGTGAGCAAGAATTCAATGCAAGTACTTAGCAGGAGCCCTCCCGAATTCCCTTTGTCTATACTTAAAGCTAGAGCAGTAAGGGCGTAGACTGGGGCTAGAAAACGGGGTTCAAGTTTTAAAGACATAACGTGTGCAGAAATCTACACTGCAATTGCTAGTCAGCAGCTGAAAGGGGTGGGTGGTGTGAGGCATAGCCAGTTCCTGGTCGGTGTGCACACTTCCTGTCCACGCTGCTACTCTGATTTTTCTCTGTAGGGCCGATGGCGGTGGACTCTGTAGATAGCAATGCCAGCACCGCCTAGCTGTTAACTCCTAAATGTGGACTAATGAACTCTGAGAACAAACTCCAGCCTTGGGCTGTCAGCTTTGATGCATTGTTTGTGCTGTAATGAATAGCAGAGATGTGTTTCAGTAAGAGGATTAATACATCTGCCTTAATATGGTGAATAAATTTAATTTGGAATCCTCTATGGTGGTCAAAGGGGTTTTTTTTTTTTTTTTGCACCAGGGTCTCCTCCCGTTGAGCCCCCCCTCCCCCATTATCACTCTGCAGTTGCTCTGTTTAACCACAGACATGAATTTTTGTGAACGGGAGCAGAAAATAAACTACATAATGACACCTAGATGTATAGGCTTGAATTTGAATATACTTCCCAAAGCTCCTGGAGAGTGAAAGGAAAGCTGTTTCCTTCGGCGCCGAAGGAGTAAGTCCACCTTAGTACGTCAGGCTAATTGATCAGTGAAGACATGTTTTCCACGGACTTTTTGAAGACCCCTCACGTGGTTAGGAAGGAACTGGAAATCCTTTGGAGACCATTGTTCTTGTCAGGCAGCCGTCTGCATCCGTGTGCACGCCACATGTGTGTTCGATGGAGACAACTGCCTAAAACATATTTCCTACTGAACAGTAATTAAGACTTTTAGAAGCAGTGTTGCCCAGCTGTGTCTTGAGCTTTTTATTTAGGATTCTGTCTACTAACAAATACAAACCCTTCATGCTCTTTTTTTTTTTTTTTTTTCTATTTTAGCTCACTCTACAAGTCAACATGAGGTTTCTGCTTTGGAGAGGAGGACAAGTTTAATGAAGAGGAAGTAAACCTAAAAGTTGCTACGAGACTTGAGTAAAATCCGCTGCACCTTGTAAATGTTTAACTGGACATGAAGGAAGAGGGGGCGGGAGGGGGGCGGGAGTTTCCGTGCACGTAGCACATGGTTTAAATATGAATGAATGAACCTGTGATCCAGTCCTTGTCTTGTAATTGTGGATTAATGTCAGCGTTAATCAGCCCCTTAAAGGGAGAGAAAAGCTGGACCTTTTCGCTGGCTGTACCATATTCAGCCTTTGATTTCCATGGGCTCCACCATTTATGTGTAAAATTTGAAATGGTTGTCACCTCTCTCTGAGGAGCGAGCTTGAAGGCTCCCCCACCAGCTGCTGTGGGAGATTGAGAGCAGGGGTCTGTGGGTCAGGAGGGATGCTGGCGGGGCTGGCTCAAGCATGAGAGCCATCATCCGCCCCCCCCTTCATCTCAAGGGGCTGTGCGCCCCAGGAGGCTCTCTGAACAATAGGGCTGTCGTTGAGAGCCGTTGGGTAGATGTTCTTGTCTATTTATAAATGACTTTAAACTTCCCCTTAGCTGTTAAGAATGTGTTCTAGATCTAGCTATTTATTATCTGACGCCTGCATGCTGAGACAGTGCTCCCCCGTTGTCTTCATATGTGTGGACCTGTGTGAATGGTTGTGTGTTTTTTGCACATTTTGTGGCTGTTAAGATGTGCTTTGCTGCACAAAAGTGAAAACTTAAATTTTGAGTTAACAGTTTGGGATATAACTGGAGGGTGGGGGGTGGGCTGGCAGGGGAGGGGGGTGGGAATGAATGCCGAGACAGGGAAGGATTAGGAGGTGGGAACTTTAGATCCCAGAGGAGGAACTGTTGGGGGGAAGGGGTCACTTTTTTAAATGTACCAACTTTTAATGGAATTTTCTGAGGCTGGTGGCTGATAGGGTAGAGAGAGGCCCCTTCTCTCCACCCTGCTTTCACATCTGATGCACCGAACTTCAGCCTCAGCTGCTGAAATGTAGAGAGGACCAAATTGCTTTCCAGTTTGTTTCTTTGTATACTATCCTGAAGTCCTGGAAAGTTCTGTGGGATGGTTCTATACATAGGGCATAGGTAAAGTCAGTGTGCAAAGTTTATTTATTTATCTATTTATTGCCCCGTGAGAAGACTTTGCCATAACCATAGTTAACAGGGAAAAACAGAACTCACCACTGTAGATGAACGCACAGCCTCTCTGCTCTGTGCTGTTAGGGTCCAGTTCTCCAAGATGACCTGCACCTTGGTACCGCGTGTACCAAGGGCTCACCCTTAGGTGACTCTCCAAACAACCTCTTTGGTGCCCCCAAATGAGACATATTTGGCCACAAAACACCAAAGAATTACGAGCAGTGGCCCCTGTTGAGGGATCTCCCAGTCTAGCTGGGACTCAGTTGTCAATACATTCTTTGCTAGTTTGAGTGCTTGTTTATTGTAACACGTGCTGTGGTAGATATTAGTGCTAGGCTTCCTCGAAGGTGTCTGGGGAAGACCAAAGTTTGCAACTTGAACTGTTTTTCGCCGGGTGTTTCTCACATCGCTGTAGTTTAGAAAATAAGATTTAAGACTGATAACCTGTCACATCATGAGTGCTTCTATTGTGTAATGACACAAATCCTTACTGCTTCCACCTTAGTACGTTAGGCTAATTGTACGCATCTGGGTGTGCCATAAATATAGTGGGACCAAAAGAAATACGCCATTGGCTTCTAAGCATTACAGTACTTGGCAGCAGTCCCTGGATTTGTCCCCTGGCTGGTCCCTGGGAGTGGTTATAGCGAAGCAGTTAGGGCCCTGTAGTTTGTGATGCAAATCTGCTGGGGCTGGCTTCTGGGAGCTGGATGCATTTTCTGCAGCTGTTTCAAAGTTGAGGCCTGTCCCCGAATCCTCTGTTAATTACTGTGTGAGAGCCAAAGGGAGCCGCTGATAAGGGTGCCCTGGGCCCCCCACCCCCACCCCCGCATCCTGCAGGGAACTTTCTGGACTCCCACTCTTTGAATGGATATAGGCATTTGGGCTCACTGCTTGACCATTCACACCCCGTGAAACGTCCCACACTTTGAAGCAAATGCAATTCACAGCACAGTACACACAAAAAAACTTGGCATAAGACGGGGAAGGTTCTTCTTATTTTGTGAATTGGTTGCTGTAGCAACGGGTAACAAAAGGCAGCCTTCCACTTCTGGTATAATTGTGTAGCCCCTTTTCTCTGGGTTTGACACCTGTCTGAATAAGAGTGATTAGAGCCGCGTAATATCCCTCTCTTGGTTATAGAGTATGTGGTTCACGCACAAAACTCTGTATAAGTTGAAGTAAAATGTTCATGTTCATATGTACTTGTTTGTTACGATGACATTTTTGAGGTTTTGTAAAAGTTTTTGTTTTTCACAATGTGAAACTGGAGGTCAATAAATTATTAGAGATTTTCTCTTCAATGTGTGTGGGGGTCTTTATTTGGGAGCTGTTCCTCTTGTATCAAAAGGTGCTTCCCTTCGAATGTTTTCAAGTGTTTTATTGACTGTTTTGTTCTATATATGTATCTCAGTGATTTTGCTCGTTGAATGAAATTTTGACCTTGAGAATATCTCTACGCAAAGCACAATGCCTCTTTGATGGGTCTTTCATGGCTTGGAATATAAAAGTCACATACCATGCAGAAGTAAGAGTTTAGTTTTTGTATTCCACAGGCAGGTTGTATTTTTATAGAAAGGACTGGAGTTCAGACCTTCTTTCATCCACTGAGATTTGCTTTAGGAGTCGTTTGAAGTAAGTGGAAATACATGCATGTTTCCTAAACTTCTAACGTAGCCCCTCAGCTTTTTCCAAGGAAGCAGCTCAATGCCGGACTGGGTGAGGCTTCCCATCCCCACCTCCTGATGGCTTCAGGTCACACCCGTTCTCACATGGGCCAAACCCCTTATTGTTTAGGGGGCAAAATAATGCTGCATATTTTCTTTTCTGGCTAGAAGGTAGAGGAGAGCTCACAAGTAGACATAATGCTGTTGCAGTCTTTGGACTTGAACCCAGCTGCTCGAGAACAGATGTCTTGGGTTTGACAAAAGGATCACGGGGTTCCGGGCTGGGTGGGGCTGGTCTAGAGCCAAGTCTTGAAGAACAAGTGTCTCAGTCCTCAGATTCTGCCTGGTGTTGGTGACCCACAGACACCCCTTGACCAACACCAGATGATCCGAAGAAAAAAGCAGTTAGGCATTCATGGGTGGGACCTGAATACTGGGGAAGAAAGACTTAATGCTAATCCTTAGGTTGAAGACAATTCCTGTAGAGAGATTGAACAGAACTTTTGTTCGCAGGAAGTCTTAGTTATCTCATTTGCATATGTAGACAGGTTTAGAAAATACTTTAAGTTGTTAATTATAGTTTGAAAATGACTTCACTCGTACATTAGGATCACTCTCACACAGCGGTGCTAGGTGGAGTACCTTTGGCCATGCATCAAGCTGACCCTGATGGGGAGACCATTTGGAGTTGACAGTCCAGGTTGATGTAACACTCCCAATGAGTGTTACAGGGATGTGAGCCTCCGCCCAGGGCTTTGGTCCCCCGACAGACTGACAGCTGCACCTCACATCATTTCCATTGCTTGCCAGGCATAAGGCGGGCACTGACAAGGGTCTTGGAATACTAAGAGTTTACCAAAAAAGCTTACCTAAGGAGACAGACTTACATCTCATTGGCCAGAACTTGACCACGCAAACTTGCCAAGATTGAAGGAAGGTTAGGACGAGGGCACACTTAAATCTGGCTACTTTGCCACTCAAAGCAATAATGTGAGTTTTGTTAGAAAGGGGGAAGGGAGGCCAGACACTGGGAGTGTAACTGCAGAGAGAGGAACCCTAGAGAAGGAAGGTGCAAACTGGCGATTGTGCTTGACTATTACTTCAATTCGTCTTCACAACATGAACACAGTTGGATAAATATGGAGAAATGTCGATATCGCTAAGCCGCAGTTCCTTAATCTGGAAAATAATCTTGACTAAAGAGATGTGAGATTCTGAAACAGATTTAATAACCATTGTTATTTATAATTATTTGACTAGCTTGATAATACAAAAGTTTAATAATTCAGTTTAATCACTGATAGAGTTGAACATAACAGAGTGCTAGGGCCTCATGCCATCACGAGAAATAAACAGCTATAAATCTGAGCATCTTTTTCCCTTTTCCAGGAACTGTATTAAGGGGTTCTGCACCCTTGCCTTTCCTTGATGGCAGCCATGCAGCAGCCCTGTAAGAGCAGGCAGTGCCATTTAGCCCCATTTTGTGGAGGGAGAAACTGGTTTGGCCTAAGGGAGTGGTGGAGCTGGATGTCCAGGCACGTTCTGAACTGCTGCTCTAGGTCTAGGAATGTGGAAGCAGGTGACTCATGGGGCCGAGCCTGGCTGTGGGAAGCCAGGCTGCCTGGGTTCATCAGGACACAACTTGGTGACCTGGTCTGAAGAGGCTGGCATGGCAGCTGGTGAACCTACAGCAACACAGAAGGCATGATCAAAGAAACAGGAGGTGCAAGGCTCAGTGTTTCTTGACAGCTAGTTTCTGAGGATAAGATCATAGAGAATTTCAAAATAAATAGGGCTGCTTCATTGTTGACGATTTATGAGGCTGCCCACTGATGCTGCTTGCTGTTTTGTAAGATGTTGATTGACCCTGTGGTTGAATACATAAATAGTCATGGCCAGACCGATCCCCAAACATAACTGTGACACCATGGGCAGTAGCGAGTCCAGCAAATCAATCCTTTACCTGTAGTACGCAGCCCGCAAAGCTGGCCTTCCGTCTGTCAGTTGGAGGAAGTCAGACTCATATGTCTAGCCACTAGTCAAGAAAGCCAAACAATGACCCCTTTCCAAAATCAGCCCCAAGCAGTCAAGACTTGATTAATAACAAGAAATTAATTAATTGATTATTAAGAAATCAATAACAAGAGATTCAAGTAACATCGTCTAACCAATCACTGCAGGAAACCCCACTTCTAGTTGGCACAGCTGCACTCTCCCCACAAGAACGGCTCGAATCAGACCTGAAGCTTGCTTGCTTCTTTTTTATTATTCTTATTTTCAAATGACGTTTCCCTGCTTCTTTGTCTTTTGTTGAGTCTCTGCAGTGACTCAGTGACGGTGGCAGTGACAGTAGCCAACTCCCTTGCTAGAGCAAGCTCTTAATAAACACCCGTTGCTTGTCCTTGTTGGGTTACTCTTTGTACATCTCCACAGACAAATGTTTGTTCAATAAGATAATTAAATATTTTAATAAAAAGATTCACAAGAGTGAAGTGGAGAAGAACATTGTGGTTTCCGGGCAAGGTGCGTTTTCAGAAGTTTGCTGTTTTCATACTGAAGGTCTGAGTGAATAAAAAATGTACACAATACATACAGCATGAGCAAAATGGTTTTTGAGTTAGTGAGGTTGAGAAGAGGGCATCTGGTTTGCCAAAAGGAGAGCATTGTTTGGGAGTATTTTGAATAAAATGAGGACCCTTAAGTAAGTTTTACAGCCATATTCATGGCGCACAGAAAAGTATGAATAAATGCAAAAACTTAGCAGTTAATTCTTGGTCTTGCCTGTCGCAAATCTTAAGTGCTTTGCCTGTCTGACACATACTCAGACTAAGCCATCTGTCCTGCATTTGAATTTAATCACAGACAATGCATTTTAGAGCTCTGTTATTTCTCAGACATTGGACAACTAAGGTATAAGATCTAACTTTCAGGGAAAAACAAAA